AATAAACAAACACTTATGAAAATAAAAGCCTCAGATATATTTTAAAGTGGCAAAAGAGATATAGGTGATTTCAAAGGGTTCAGTTTTAGTTTTTACTGTTTTAAAAAGTTACAGCTGATATGATGGCAATCCACCCTGGCAAAAGGTAGGTAAACTGATCAGTATATTGTTGCCCCTATTGTTTTGTTTGCAAAATTTCAATGTAATAATAGTATATTATACAATGTATATGTATATATACCTCAGTCATTAAAAAAACAAAAAACAAAAAACTTCAACAGGACCATGATTTCATGTTTAACTTCTTTATTTTCTTCAGAATATTTTAATATTGAAACCCAAACTGTTACTTTGAGAAAGGGAAAACCATGAAGACACATGAAGAGACAAACATTTCATTTCATTTAACTTATGGTATTATGAGCAGCCATTTCTGTAGGCAACACTTTTTATTTTTTTTCCTTTGTAGAAAAGAAGAAATAAAAAACAAACAGCACCATTAAAGAATGCGTGATCCCTGAATTCTAAACAAACACTGTCTAAAAAGTTTTAAAATGCTTGTTGCACTCAGTCACATTTAGTCAGGTATGAAAGCAAGCATAACAGTATGAAATATTAGCAGTCTTACGAATCAACTGCTCCCCCTTCTGAGGATTTTACACACCTTTTCTGAGTTTTTCCTGTGGGAATAATATATTCTTTGGTAGAGGACTGAAGGAGGGTTTTACTTTTCTGTATGCTGATATAGAATGTCTATGTACGCTCAGGGCCTTCACCCCCAATCTGTGTTTGTCATGCATTTTATGTTTGGGTTGATTTTCACATTTCGCTGTTAAACTGTAGGAATAATACCGCCTTTCAAAAAAAGGCATTAAATGGCTAATGTCAAACAGATGTAAACATTCAGAATACTGACCCCCCCCCCAAAAAAAAAGATACACACACACATTAAGAAATAAAACAAAAACAAAACTAACTGAAAATATGAATCAGATTAGGTTTCCATGAAGCAGGAGGGAAAATACAGCAGTACAAGAAAATTATGGCAACCAAGTAAAGCACTTGCTTTGAAACATTCATGAACAGTACACATACAACAAAGTTCTTCTACAGCCTAAATTATTCTGCAACTATCAAATATAGTACAAAGCGAAATAGTATGTGCTATAAAAAAGCAGCTCCTTTAAATTATAGTAAAAATGCTTTTTGTTCTTTTTACAGTGACAGAGCATGAGGACTGAAAACAACAGGATTTTTATATTCAGTGACATTTTGGCTACTTCGGCCCCTGACAGTCTGAGGAGTTCTTTTTCTAGGACTCTTCACATTGTTCTCTGGAAACACAGATGGACAGACTCTGGGCTCTGCCCCTGCAGCGGGAAGGGGGGTGTGGGGAGTTCCCACAGGGCAGCTAAACATGGTGCAAGGCATAGAGACGGTGCAACCCAACACTTGACTTCAAGCTTTGTGGGGCTTCACCGTACACTGGAGGAACTGGGAAACCAGAGGCCACAGTGATTTCCTCTTTTGAAATTGTGCGAGTGTTTGCAAAGAAAGCAGGGCTGCAGCATCATATAATTCTTACTCTTGACTGCATTATAAAGCACCATACTGCACCAGTTTGTTTGTTTCTGTATGTTTATTTCTGAGTAAGAATACCCGGGGTCCAGAAATCTACTAAACCTTCTGTAGCTCATTCCAGAAACACACACCACCAGTCTTTATAGCAACAAGGCTCAACCTCATAGGTTTGTTTTCAAGTTTTTTTTGTTTATATTTTCTTTAACCGAGACCTTAGCAGAGAAATATATGTAACAACGGTGCTCAGTTCACCCACATATCTGCTATTCTCACTTTGGGGAAGGAAACATTTTCATTTTGAAAATGAATTTGCATCAGGACGTTTCTTATTAACATGCCCATTAACTACCTAAATGTTTTTGTACACCTCAGGCATATGCATATCAAAGAGGAAGGGGGTGCTGGGGAATAGCAGTCTTCTTCCTTCCCCCACTCCAAAAGTGCTACTTAGGGAAATAACATCCTTTGAGACTCAAAAAGAAGAAATAAGACAAAACAAAAACATGTTTCATGTGCAAGTCCTATTCCTGACAGGAATATCAGAGTGCCCAATAATGAGGACAATGCACACACTCAAATTTGCACATTAGTCACAATAACCATGTAGTCAATAACATACTCCATTTGCACATAAGCAGACATCTGTGGAAATCAAGAAACTAGGATCCTATTCACCTAATTCAAACATACTGGCTTTTGTATATGTAACTATAGACTATTTTGAACCACAACCTACTTCTCAATTTTTCTTTTTCTTTTTTAAAAAAAAAATGTATTATTTTTAGCCCCAAGATATTAAGTTTTCAATAATATGAATCATATGAGGAAAGGAGGAACCTGAACTGGGACAAAAAAGAGCAAGGGTACCGAACAATGATGTCTATATTATAATGCTCTCTTCAAAGGAAGGTGATAGAATCCACTTGCTATCACCAGTAGATTTTTCCAAATCAGCTGTGTGAAAATCAAAACATACAGAAGGACACTTGTTTTTCTTAATCCCCAGTAAGTAACTTGTAGGCAGTACTAAGCAATAATGGAGCTGATCTTGAGCTCAGAATCACATCAGCCTGGTTGTAGCTCACAGAGAGTGCAGTGGTTTTGTAGAGTGGAGTTTCCTTCAACACCATGTCAGTTACTGGTATGTTTCAGTTTCAATCTGCTGGTGTAGAAAGTATCTGACACTGGTATACTGGTAACTGAATTTGGAAATAGACATGCAAGTGTCTACATTTTAGGGGTGATTCACTGTTAAGACTAGACCATGATCTTCTGAATTAATACAGTATTACAGTCATATCCACCAGGATACCGCCAATAAGGACGCCTCCTAAACACAACCTGACACGCAGAGTTCACTAAGGATCCCCTGGAGTTCACTGTCAATTCCTCAGGAAGGTCAGTGTAAGTGCATTGCTAATTGTCTCAGTGGTGAAAATTTTTTTGTTAATTTTAATGTGGAAAAACAGAATTGGCAGTACTAAAGCACCTAGCCTTTTTCATTCTGTTTTTAAAAGATATTTTCCATTATCAGTAATTTGTTAATAAAAATTTCATTACCTAATGAAATTTGGCAACAGCACAGTAATAAATATAAAGAAAAACACATACCATAGATTAAAAATAAAACCAAACAAAAAAATACACACACAAAACACAAGTGTTTCTCCCACCCCCCACCCCCAGGAATGTAATTTCTGCTCATTCCAGTTGATCTCTAAGACGTATTTTAAAGGAATGTTGAAAAGTTTACATTGATCAAGATGATCCTATGTTGAAAATATCTGTCATTCTTACCCTGGATACACATGATTTTCCCCCATGCTTTTTTTTTTTTTTTTTTTAATTTCACAGCCACAATCAATGGGTGAACGACAATCCACATTTTGTGCTCTGTATTCTGAAGTTAAAAAGGCATGGTGTTTGTTTTCTTTCATCTTCCCACAATATGCATGTGCTTTTGAACTTGTTTTAGGGAACAGAGCTTCCTGAATGAGAGCTGGTCTCCGGAGTGATGGTGGCCAAAGGATCACAAAAGTTATGAAGCTACTCAACGCTCAGACGTTACTGGATAAACACTGGTGGTAGTTTTAAGATGCAGTATCCCTTTTCCAAAAGCAGTTTGACTTCCCAAATATGAAGAATGCAATGAATGGGCCTGAGGCAAAAAACAACAGATGCCATAGCTAGAACAATAATTAAAATAAGGGCTATTTCGGAGTCAAATATATCTATTTTGACCATGAATTATGAGGAAACAAATACTCAAAAGAAGGTCAACACTTCAGCCTTCTGCAGTCCCTTATTTATATCATCAATGACACTGTGAGAGAGAGGCGGTCAGCCTTTGCAAAGCTAGAGGCCAAAGCATACTGATGTCATCAATACAAGGCTACAATTCCCCCCTCCTTCAATTTTAATATCTAGCAATTATATTAGAATGAACAAAATGGTCTAATATTTACAGTAACAGCTTACTAATATATTTTTTTGCATATATATCATGGTATTTCTATATGTTTGCTTTTCGTTTCAGGCATTTCTTTTTCACACTTGCTCTTAAAAACCCATGGCTCTCCACTGGCCAACAGTCTTACATTATCAGGTAACAAAGGGCCAGAACCAGATGACTGGATTTGAACCTATGTTGTGATTTCAAGTGTAAGACATATTTTACTACACTGCATGTACATAACCCAAAGTAGAACCAGATATTCTGTCCCAGTCTCTAAAAGGGGGAAGAAACATCATGACAGGGGGTTTCAATAATAGCATACCTCCTTTAATGTATCTTCTGTTATATAAGTAGACCCTGGGAATCATATTTATACATTTAAATCAGATTTGCCTTTCCAAACACGATTCAATCAATGTGGTAAAGGTAGGTGCGGAAGAGACCACTGTGAAAGCTCTTGCTGCAAATGGCTAATCTACCGAAGAATGCATAAATAACCACCATCTCCTTCCAACATATGCATTTCTGGTGATTATAAAAATTTTTTCTTGCTACAACCACCAAACAGTTGACATGGAGTCCCTTCTTCCGTGGACTTGTGCCTCCAATGCCTCAATTAGCAGCTAAGCACATTAGCCCACCCTAAGACTTCTACCTACACGTTGGCATAAAAGGAAGAAACAGAAAAGCAATGGGGCAATGGCCTGTATACACGTGAAGAGAAGCTTTCCAAAGCTGGGGAAAGGCAACTACATTTGTAAAAGTCATGCTGCTGGAGACATTCGTCTGGGATGCACCCTCCCCTTTACAAGGAATGCATGAAAATCCCATGGAGCAGGGATAGCATGCTCCAAACTAAAATAAATTAACATGATATAAAACACCAAGTTATTCAATGTGTTGTGGCTGATGCTGTTTGGCTTTTTCATTATCAAAAAGGGATACTGCATCTTTCACTTAGTTCTTATCGTACAACCAGGCAAGCTACACAGAGTTTTGAAGGCCCTATGCAGTCGTCATGACAGAAGGCCCCACAACCTTTGCACACAATCATGGCTTTCAGCCGGCAAGAGCATTTCAGTTCCAACTCATCTGCATTGCTGCTGTCGGCAAAGTTCTGGACGGGCATCTGAGCATTCTGACCAGGCAGGCCAGTGGCAGCATTGGTGCCACTTCCCAGAATCCCAATGGACTTTTCAATGGCTGATGCGGCCCTCTTGAAGCTCGTGCTACCAAAGTGTATTGTTGGGTAATTTCCACAGAGTTGCTGCTGCTGCACCTGCATTTTCTGAGCAGCTAACTGGGTAAAAGGCGTTTGCGGCTCAGAAAGCAAATAAGATGAGAAATCTGCATTTTTTAGCGCAAATGCTTTTAATTGTTCTTTCATTTCATTCTGGTCATAGGAAACTTGCTTCATGCCCAGTTCACAGCTGCTGCTTAAGCCTTCCTCAAATGAAAGAGGTTCCGATTTGATATTGCTACACATGCCCGCGGACTGTGGCCAACTAAGTCTTTTCGTGGTTTCCATGGTAACTGGTGGCTGTTTTTGATCGGGCAGGACTTCTGTATTAGGAAGAGGTGGAGGTGGTGGAGGTGGAGGTGG